CCATAATCACTTACAAGAACTTGCAATAAAACTTTTTTCTGTTGTTCCACATAGTGCTGGCTGTGAGCGAAATTTTTCAAATTTAGGTTGGTTATATGGTACAAGAAGGCATAATTTGAATTTAGAAAAAGTAGAAGATATGTCAAAAATCTATAGTTATTACCTTGCACAAACTAAAAAAGAAATTCAATATTATGGGCAGAAATTATCAGAAGAAGAGCTTAAAAAATTAATAAATGATACAGGGCTTATTTCTGATGATAGTGATGATGATGATGATGCAGTGAATGATTTTTCTGGTGAAGATGAAGAGGTATTAAATAATATACAGAACCAATTTCTAGATATATGTGAAATCATGGATTTAAATAATGAAGTATTTTGTGATAGTAATGCTGAATCTTCAATTGAAACTAATCAAGATGAATCAATTTATGAATTTTCTGATAATAATTATGATCCAAGAGATTTAGTAAAAGATACCTTTGTTGAAGGAGATGGATTTGAAAGTGAGCATAATTCAGAAAATAGTTATTTTCATGATCATTGTGAAGTTAATGAAACTGATAGAAATAATTATTTAGAACAAGAATGTTATGATATTGATAACAATTCTGGAAATAATACAAATGAAGATGAAGATGATGATAATAATTCTCAAAAATTAGTTAGAAAAAATACAAACCAGAAGAAACATAATTTACATAGCTCATCCAAATTTGACTTGGACAAAAGATTAAAAAAATAAAAAATTTATTAAATTTTCTCTTTATATTTTAAATTTTAAATGTAAAATGCAAAACAAGTTTAAATAAAAATTATTATTGCAGATTATTACAAAAATTTCTTTATGAAAATGGTTATATTTTTCTCTCTTGCCAATTTTTTCTTTTCGTCAACTTTTCCTCTTTTTCCTTTTCGTCAATATGCTCTTCGCGGTAAATTACATTTCGTATGTAACATTTCGTCAGTTGACTAAATGTCGATCATTTCGTCAGGTATCATTCATTAGTTGCAAGCATGCCTCAAGTGTAGGTTATTGAAATTACATAATGTGAATATGAATTACTAATCCAATTTTTTCAATGAGTGCAGTTTACAACATATTTGGTAAATGCATTTTCATAAAAAATTTCGGGATAATTTTCACAAAAGGTTAATGATCGAGCTCATTGTCAATGATCGATAAGAAAATATAGAACTTATATTATTACCTTTATTGGAAAGATATTCGACAGTTTTGGATATATAAATGTAGATGATCTGCAAATATTATAATTGTAGAATTTGATCTCTACATCAGCATTTACAACATGGCTACTTTATTTCGTGGGATTTTACATAAAAAAGTACTTGGCAACTTTTTAAAAACTAATAATTATAAACAGATAAATAATTTAATAGTTAATAATTTATCACATCGAAATACAGCATTCACACAAAGATCAGGTAAAGTTTTTGAGTTCTTAAGAGAACAAAAGAAAAAAAAACTTATTATTGTTGTTGTTTTTGTTAATAGGTTTTCATAATTTGACAAAAACAAATAATGCTACAGTTGTAACAAATCAAACACCTTCACAATCAACTTTGGATACACCACCTTCACTTGAACCAAAAATTTACCCCCAAAAAAATAATATTGACAACAATTTAAATAAGAAAGGTACAAATCCTCCATTAAGTTTTCCATGTATAGATCAAAATCAATTTCGCACTTTGTCATTGGATGGAGGCCCTGAACCCAATTATGAAAAAATCATTACGGGATACAAAACGTTTCATTATGATAAATCATTTATTTGTGATTATGGAGGGATTTTACCTGAACTTGATATTGCATATGAAACTTGGGGTGAACTGAATGAGAAGAAGAGTAACGCTATTATTATTCAAACTGGGTTATCAGGAAGTAGTCATGCTAAGAGCCATGAAAAAAATACTCATCCTGGATGGTGGGAGAACTTCATTGGTAGGGATTTATGCTTTTATTTAAATCTGAATTTTTTTTCCCGCAAAATTAAATTCATAATATAAAAAAACTTTGCAATTTAGGACCTGGACTTTCAATCGATACCAATAAATTCTTTGTAATTTGTACAAATGTTATTGGTGGATGTTATGGTTCAACTGGACCATCATCAATTGATCCATCGGATGGAAATCGATATGCAACCAGATTTCCAATTTTAACAATATTTGATATGGTCCGTGCACAATTTTTATTATTGGATTATTTAGGAATTGATAAATTGTATGCTAGTGTTGGTAGTAGTATGGGTGGAATGCAAGTAAGTTATAGTTATATATGGTTGTGATTGTAGTTATATATGTGTATTCATATATTTATGTATTTATAGTCAATGGCATCAGTGTGGTTATATCCGGAACGTGTGTCACGATTAATAAGTATATCAGCATGTGCAAGGTCACACCCATATTCTATAGCACTTAGACATACACAAAGACAAGGTAAAGAAATGTGAAATGTGAATGTTGATTTTTTTTTTTATGGTGAATTAAAATACACATCTATAACAACATGTAGTATTAATGTCTGATCCTAATTGGAATAAGGGGTTTTATTATAACTCAATACCACCTCATGTTGGAATGAAGTTAGCACGTGAAATTGCTACAATAAGGTAATTGAGATTTTATCAATTAAAATAATAATTTTTAATTATTTCTAATAATAATTCTTGGAAAATAATAATAATAATAATAATAATAATAATAATAATAATAATAATAATAATAATAATAATAATAATAATAACAACAACAACAACAACAAAAGCTATCGATCAGGTCCAGAATGGGAACAAAGATTTGGTAGGAAAAGGTCAAAAGAAGATCAAACACCTGCACTATGTCCTGACTTTTTAATTGAAACATATCTTGATCATCAGGTAAAATACAATTAACAATATATTATTTTAAAGTTATATATATTTATGTGTTGTTTTTTTATTTATTTATTTGTAGGGTGAAAGATTTTGTTTACAATATGATCCAAATTCATTATTATACATTTCAAAAGCAATGGATCTTTTTGATATGTCAGCTTCTACATTAGATATTCTGTCTAGACAACGAGAAAAAACAATTAAAGAAATATCAAACCGTGGTGATATTTCTTCTCCTATCAATCATAACAATAATTCAGTATGTAATGTTAGTAGTGATGGTGATGGCAATAGTAATACATCACAACAATCAGCATTAAAACAATACCCTACATCTCCTTCATCTTCAGAATCTAAACGAAAGCATATTTCATCACTAGCTACATCAAAAGGCAATTTTGAAATTGAAGATTTAGTTCAAGGATTATCAAAAATTAAAGTACCATCATTGATACTTGGTGTTCAATCTGATATTTTATTCCCATATTGGCAACAAAAAGAAATTGCTGAATGTTTGAGAATAGGTGGAAATGATAATGTGACATATTATGAATTGGATTCCATGTATGGACATGACACATTTTTAATTGATTTAACAAATGTTGGTGGTGCTATCAAAGGACATTTGGAATTTGGTAGTTAGACTATACAAGTAAATTTATTTATATTTGCATATGATAAAATAATAATAATATTGATTGATTGATAAATGATGCTAAAATATATATAAATGTATAATTTTTATCATATTGATATTTTTTCACCATAGAGATTTAACAATATTTGAACTTGATTTATTTTAACATAATATAATAAAATCAAAATTTGATCAACCTTCAATAACCACAGCTAATCTTATATATATAGTAACAGTTAATATTAATATTAATATTAATATTTGAATTACGGATAGTCAATTATGTTTACAGAATTAATGGTAGACGAAATCATTACTATTACTATTACTATTACTATTACTATCACGGAATTTAATTACGGAAACTTTTATTTTATTTTTATTTACGGTTTTCCATTTTATTTTCGGAACCAACTATAGACATACCAGGGTTGGCCATGATAATGGTCCATTCTATAACTGCTTTATTTCCGAAATATTTCGGATTTGTAGTTTATTAGTATTAGTATAATTAGCCGCAATTCAATTTTCATATGCCGCAATTAATTGAGGAGCTATCTTTAATTAGTATTTCCAAAATGACGAAATTACTATTTGGTAAAGATTATCATGAAAATAAAAATTTTATAATCATCGAATTCCAGGTTTCTAAATGACTTATCTACGCATTGTAATCACTGTTGCAGTTTTTCGTTTATTCATATTTTTATAATTTTTCAGATAATAAAAAAAAAAAGATGCATTTAACTGAGCTCAATATTAGTCTTCCTCTCTCTAATACTAAAGGTTGGCGCTTGGAGCTAATCAAAATTTGGACACAAAGTCACAAGTTGTAGAAATTCTCGAAAGCATGTTATTATGCTGATCCAATGCATGCAATCTTTGATTTCACAGCAGAATGTAGATAACTTAGATAAAGAGGAAATTCCAAAAATTGAAACAATTAAAAAAAAAGAAAAGTGCAAAGTGGCATCACATTCAAATTCTGCGGGAAATTTATTAATAGAACCGTTTACTAGATATTTAGATTATAATCTATAAAAATTTTTACCTTACCATATCTACAGCCAAACTCCCGTTTTCAGCGAATTTTGGTATAATTTAAAAAAGTCTCGTCTCGACTAATTTTATCGTTACAACGACCTTTCAATTACTTTTAATCGAGTCTTTTACCACCTTCGAAATAGCTTTGGACTCAAATTTGGATACTACTTTCGGGTTCAATCAAAAAAAATTTTTATTACACGACAGTTTTTTTGTAGAAAAACGATTCATATTTTTGTTGATCATTCGTTATTCTTTATAAAAAAGGTAAAAATTTTTTGTTTAAAAGAAAAACACGAAAATAATCAATTTTGGAAACAATAGCAACAATATGTTATATAAGGATTAAATGTTTTTTAATTAATTAAAAAAAAAATAAAAATAAAAATAAATAAATAAAATAATTTAAAATCATGTTTATTAATCAAGAAGAAACAAAAATCGAGTATCCAATTCCAAAAGATAAGGTTGGATTTCTTATAGGAACCAAAGGTTCTAATATCAAACGGTTAAGGTAAAACAAAAATATACCATTTTATCCATTAAAATTATTTATTTATCATGTTATATATATTTATATTTATTTGTGTGTTAAATAGTAATGATTCTAAAGCCAAAATTAGAGTTGAGACCATTGGAACTAAAGCTCGAATTATTATAAAAGGAACTCAAGAACAATGCAATAACGCAAGAGAGTTGATTCGCCAAACAATGGAAAAATCTTTATTACCACCACACTTGGGTTTCACCATTTTAGAAATAGGCGATATAACCAATCTATCTGATGCGAAATTTGAGTTCGTCGAATTTAAAGGACATGACTGTAATGTCCATTCTCTTGACAAAACAAAGTATTACGTGAAAAAAATAGAACCTGTTGACAAAAAAGAAGAAAAATCAAATGTTGATGAAGTTGATGATTTGATTAATCTATTTGACAAAAAACTAAAAGTTGTAAAACCACGTGACAATAAATGCGGATTTATGACTTCTGATAAGCTCGATGATTGTTTAAACGAAATTTCCGAAAAACTTACAAAAATTGATCCAATAAATCCTGTAGGCAAAGAGATCAGATTAACCATTTTTTTTGGCAAAGAATTATTTGTAAATGTTGGTAAAAAAATTTTTGATATGAATGATTGGAGTAATTTTGAGAGAGGAAGAAATGGCATCGGAACATCATTTCAACATCATTCGCCAAACATTCAGAAAAATTTAAAATTATTACAAGATAGTTTTGGTTTTAAAAGATCTTCAAGAGATAAAAATAATCAAGACGATGATAAAAATAGTATTACAATTTATTACGTAATTAATGATAAAAAGAGAAAATTGAAATTACATTGGGATGAAGACGCGGGTAATTCAATTTTATTATTATTATAATTAATTTTGTAAAATATAAGCTGTATTAATAATTATCCTTTTTTATTCCTTTAGATTTATGGAAAATAACAAGTGCTGCTAAAGATATCAATCGTTTTGGTAAATTGAATCATGTTTTTATTTTTTTATTTTGTTTTATTGGTGAAAAAATAAAAATTAATTAATTTATTACATTATTTTTAGCAATTCTGGATATTATTTCAGGATCTTCTATACCTGATTTAAGATTTTTATTAAAAACTCAATATGAGCTTCTTATTCACGAGAATGTTTCAAAAATAATAAATGACCTTCAATCTAAACCATTAGTAAAAAAAGATGGAATGTGGTTTAGACAATCTGATTTTGCCGGCAAAGAAATAAATTGCACTGGTATTCGACAAACATTACACAAGAAACGTTATGTGTAAGTAATAAAATATACATTTTATATACACATAAATATTATATTTTATTATATACTCACATATTATTGTTATCATTTTTGTAGAAATAACAAGTATCAAATAACTTTTCTATCAACAATACAAGACACTGATAATAAGATATTCATAGAAGAATCAATCAATCTTAAAAATATTACATGGAGATCCGTTGAAAATATTGATAAAAAACCAAGCAAACATTTCGATGAAGATAATCTTGGTAAAACAATACGTGAAACAATTAAATTTGCCAGAGAAGTTGCCAAAGTTGTCGCATAACCAAATCATCATGGACAATTATATTATATATGTGTAATATTAATTAAATTATTATTTTTTTTATTTTGAATATATAACAATTTTTTTCTTATCGTTGTATTTTTATATATTATAAACAAATAAATAAAGTTTTGTAATTATATTGTAAAGGGTTATTATAAAGAGATTTTTAAATGGTTGTTGTTGTCAAGATCGATCACTTTTGGTAATGGCTTGTCAGCAATTGAATTCGAGTGTCGAACAAAATTATTTTCGAGAAAATTTATGTTGATCAAAAAAATTTTTTAAAACAACAATAATAATAATGGCTGAAGAAAGCGTCAAAGAAGCAACTTTTGCTTCGTTGGTAAATTGATTAGTTAGCCAAAAAAATAATATGTATATACTGAAAGAAATCTGTGTTAATTATTCGTGTCTTTATCTATAGGGTGTATTAGAAGAATTATGTAAAGCATGTGAACAATTAAATTATAAAACTCCAACGGCAATTCAAACAGAAGCAATTCCTTGGGCCTTACAAGGTTTGGATTATGAAAAAATATTTTTATGGAAAAAAGTCGTCTTTTTTGCTTTAAAGGCATTAATATCTTTCTTTTGGACAAAATTTTAAGACACTCGTTAATAACAATGACAATAATAATGATGCATTTAACTAATGTACTCACCAATTAGGTAGAGATATAATAGGATTGGCACAAACTGGGTCTGGGAAAACGGCTGCCTTTGCTTTACCTATTTTACAAGCATTATGGGAGGCACCACAAGGGCTTTTTGCTTGTGTATTAGCACCTACAAGGTAACATTATATTACTTTCAAACCAATTTTATTGATTGATTGATTGGCTGATTTTTTTTGGTGAAAAAAAAAAAAGAGAATTGGCGTATCAAATATCAGAAACATTTGAATCTTTAGGATCTGTAATTGGTGTTCGTTGTGTTGTTATAATAGGTGGTATGGATATGATGACACAGGCTATTGCTCTATCTAAAAAACCTCATATTATAATAGCTACCCCAGGAAGATTACAAGATCATTTAGAAAATACCAAAGGTTTTAGTTTAAGGAATTTAAAGTACTTGGTAAATATTGGATTTATTTGTATTATATTATTATATTATACATATAACCTTTTTTATAATATATTTTTTTTTTGTTTTTTAGGTAATGGATGAGGCAGATAAATTATTAGATATGGATTTTGGACCAATTATTGATAAACTTTTAAAAGTGATACCTAAGGAACGTAACACCTACCTATTCTCTGCTACAATGACAACAAAGGTGGCCAAATTACAACGTGCTTCTTTGAATAATCCTGTCAAGATTGAAGTTTCTTCCAAGTAAATCATTAAATAATTTGCACTCACACTTATAGGTTTTACATATTATTAATAAACAATAATTTCTTTTCTTATTCTTATTGTTTATAAAGATATTCTACAGTGTCAACACTTCTTCAATATTATCTTTTTTTCCCTTTTAAATTTAAAGATTGTTATCTCGTCTATTTGTGTAATGAACTTGCAGGAAATTCAATTATTATATTTAATAGAACTTGCAATGATACTCAACGCCTTGCTTTATTATTAAGAAATCTTGGATTTCCTGCAATACCGCTACACGGACAATTATCACAAGCCAATCGACTAGGTTCATTAAATAAATTTAAAGCTGGAAATAGAAATATTCTGGTAGCTACCGATGTTGCGAGCAGGTAAAAAGATCATTATAACATTTTGTTTTTTGGAGGGTTTTAAAGATGTTATTAAAAAAATTTTTCATAAATATAAATATGCATATATAATACATATTTAGAGGGCTGGATATTCCACTCGTAGATGTAGTAATAAATTTTGATATTCCAGCGAATAGTAAAGATTACATTCATCGAGTAGGACGTACGGCTCGTGCAGGAAGATCGGGTAAATCAATTACATTTGTAACACAATACGATGTTGAATTATTTCAACGTATTGAAAATGTTATTGGGAAGAAAATGGAACTTTTCCCAATTGGGAATAAAGATGATATTCTATTGCTTGAAGAACGTGTGTCTGAAGCACAAAGAATCGCTACATTGGGGTTGAAAGAACAACAACAAAAACAAAGGAAAGGAAGTAGACGTATTAGAAGTGAAGGAAATGATGATGATGATAAAGATAGAGATGATCGAGATCTTATTGAAATAAATAAATTAAATAAAAAGGCTAAAAAAATAAGAATAAAATAGATTATTTTATATTATTAATAGTTAAATAAAATTGTAATGTGACGAATCACATGTTTATTATATAATAAAAAATACGTGACAAAAATACTATATTTTTATTATATACAAATTTTATAATATTAATTTTAATATCCATTTTATTAAATGTATAAACCGCTCACAGAGACCTCATTCTAAAAGAGGAGCACAAGAAGATACTCTAGTTATATTAGAAGTCAGGTCGCGTAAAAAATAGAAAGATTGTAGAAAAGTCAATAATGTTGTTTTGAAAGAAAACAGACCCAAACAAAATGAAAATTAACATATAAAGGCAACCCAAGAGGATGATTAATTGGTGTATTTACGTGAAAGAAACACATATCGGTTTCATTGCTAAAGTCATTATCATTTTATTAATGCTTGGGCTTGAGCTTAATTTTGAATTACAAAATAGTAAACAACTTAGTGCTAGACTAGCTAAAGTAACTTCTTCAAATGAACTTGACTCAAAGTATGCTGAACAATAATTTGTATAAGGAAAACCTTGCTAATTTATTGATCCAAAATGTAAAAGTAAAAATTGCTAACGAATTTATTTTTTCGTGTTTTCAAAATGGTATCATTAATAAAGATCTTTATTAACAGAACTTTTGAACCATGGATTTCTTTCCAATTGACAATTACTTAAACGATTGGTATTCTCAAATAATTTGCAATCAGTAAAACTTCTATGTAAATTGGTAAATAATATGTAGCATAGATTTACATGTAACCACATTGGGTATCTTTTATATAACTATGGAGGATTCATTGTTGGAATATTCTTGAAAATATGGAAATCAATGGATGAATTGAATCGATCGTTGATATATACAGGAATAGTCAACTATGTCAAATATAATTTATACAAAAACAATCAATTAATGCGTATATACAGTAAGTTCACTGCATCCAACAGTTACATCAAGCAAAGTCCTCAGGAATATCCCTCGGGCGCCATTAAGATCCTTACTCCACACTCATTACACCTAAACACTTTTTTGCTTGTGTAAGTTATCACCTTTTTGCTCAATTTATTGGCCTTAAAAACAAGATGTTCACAGAATTGGTTGTAAGCACCTTGTGGACTGTTTTGGAATTAACTTTTCAGTTGGGACAATGAACATAACAGACCCATTAAAAGGTGGTATGAAGACTACTTTCAAATTTAACCAACCACCACCACCCCCACTACATGATGCAGGAGGAGGATGGAGGACCAGTACCACCAACAGGAGGATTAGTAGATACTTGTGCATTAGAAAACCTATTGGCACAAATTAACTGACCAAGTAAAGGAGAGGAACAAAGGTTGGTAGAGCTACCTATATTTAACAGAGAAGTAGATGATCCACACCAATGGTGGAGAAACTTCAATGAGGCATGTGAAGCAAATAACATAGCAATGGAAAGAAGATTACAAATTGTACCAACATGCTTGGAAGGACAAGCTGAAGCCTAAAAGAAAACGCCCGGCTTGAATATTGCAACATGAGATGGACCACCAGGATCATATGACAATAACGTAAGCTTTAGGAATAATTTCTTTGAATATTTTAGCATAGCACAACATCAGCAAAAATGGATGAATGAATTAAGAAATCGGAGGATGAAATTGTTGATGCTTATGCAGGAGCATTAACAGAGTTATATATGAAAGCAGACTCTATGGGACAATATCCAGCAAGCGATAAATTGCAAACATCTTAATGGATTACCATCACAAATTAAAATGTTTACTGGATTAGCAGCACCAAAAGATTTCAGAGAGGCTTGGGAACAAGCGAAAAAGGTAGAAAGTATCTTAAAGAAAGATAACCCTTTTAACAATGATAATTTACAACACATCAATGCGTTAGTAGCAAACCAAGTAGCACAATTAGGACAAAGTGTGAATAGACTAGCAATGGAAATTAGGGAAGGACGAAAATGCAATCTTTGTAACCAATTAGGACATGAAACTGTGAATTGCAATAAAAGGACCATGAACCAATGGCCAAATAAGAAAACAACAGAACCACAAGGAGATTGTTTCAATTGTAACAAACCAGGACACTAGTATAAAAATTGTACTGAATGGATACAAGAGAGACAATACAGAGGAGTCGTGAAATGTTATAGCTGTGGCAAGGAAGGTCATACATCGACCAATGCTATTGGCAACCTGAGGCAGAAAATAAACAACAACAAGTAGGAAGAAAACTATCAATGAAGGATGAACAATAACCAACAGCAGCAACGGGCTGGAAGAGCCTTGTTGAACCAAGAGTACAAGAGCCACAAAATTATCACACATCATATTCTTATATGATAGAAAGCCTATCTTTAAGTAATAATAGTATTTGCTCACCTCCTACCATGGAAAATATATCTTTAAGTAATAAAAGTAAAACAACATCTGCGATTTGGAAATTTATGTATAAAAAATATAATAATCAAAATGAAGTTATAGAAATAGTTTGAAAAAAATATGCAAAAAAAAACATTAACACAACCACTTGTGGATCATTAAGAACATAGTGATATTCCTTCTATAATAAATCAATTATTACAAAAACCATATAATAAAAATGATAATACAAGAATAGAGGAATGTACAGGTGCTATCATTAATTTTATTGTTGGATTTCAAATGCCATTTTCAGTTGTAGGTTTAAAAAACTATGCAACGTGGTTGATTCATGATATATCTTACCAACACATCGATATTACAAAATCAAATTTATCAAAAATTTGATAATTTAATTGCAAAAGAATTATCAAAGCTCACAGTAAAAGTATCATTAACTGCAGATATTTGGACATCAATATCAAATCAAGCATATTTTGGTATAAATATACAGTCTGCCCTTGTTTCAACGAAGTGGCTGGACATATAAGAAAATTTTATTCGACATTCGTTGAAACAAGGTTACTAATCGCGTTTCAACGAATTTTTATGTTTTCATAATGTGTAACAACGTTTTTAAAAATTCGTTGTATCAAAAATTTAATTATACTTCGTTGAAACAAGGGTTCGCTGTAAATTACATTAATAATAATTGGAAGTTATGTTATTATCTTCTTGATTTAATTCAGTTTGAACATGAACATACTGCTATGAGAATTAAGAAAAGCTTTTTCAATTAATTAATGAAATGAATCTTAAAGATAAAGTCCTTGCACAGATAATGATGCAAAAATGATTAATTGTAGTAATCTTATGTTGTGTGAATTGAAGGAAGCAACTTGTGAAAATTGTGATTTTCATCATTATAGATATTTTAAATTTGGCAATGAATCATGGAATGGAATTAAGAGTTCCTATTATTGACAAAGTAAGAAAGTTTGTAAATGAATCAACAAATTTTTGTGATGAGTTATGAGATTATTCTAAAGAGATGAAAAAAAATTATTATAAGCATGATCTTGATGTTGCTATTAGATGCAATAGCATATTTTTAATGTTAGAAAAATTAATAATAATAAGTGGGAAGGAGTATTGAATTATATATAGAAAATCAGAATTACTCAACTGAAGAATGTATAATGGCAAATTCTATACATAAAAAATTAAAAGATTATTGGACAACCTACCATTATTACAACTTTATTAGATTCTTATTCACTTTTCAATAGAAGAAAAAGAAATCAAGCTGTTAATATTGTCATCGATTATTATTATTTGGATGACAACAATATAAATTTATGATCATGTGTCAGAATTACTAACGGATTAGTTTTATTATTAGTAAATAATTTGTTTTGTGGCGTTTTATTTAGTCAAACTAATTTATTAACATATTTCTAAGTTAATTTATTAACTTCTTACAAAGTTAAAGTTTATTAAACTTTAATACAAAAGTTATTTTACAAATACGTCGAATCTGACTTTCTTATATACAATTAAATTAATTAGTAGCAACTTCATTGCGACCTAGCACTTTAATTGCGATTCAGCACGCTAATTTCGATATCGAACTTTAATTGCAATGTTAATTTCTAAATATGGTTAACTAATAAAAACGTAATACAAATAAATAAATTGTAAAATGCAAATAAAATGGATATAAATAGAAATAAAATGATTTTAATTCGGAATTAGGGTATTCATGCTTCGTTCTAAAATTATGCATTAAATAATTCAAATTCTGAATAATATTTTTTGAAAATTTAATTACACAACAAAATAATAAAGTTAATCAAATTCGACCAATTGAAGACGAGTTAGAAAGACATTTAGCTTTGCCACCAATATCTTCAGATTCACTCCTTTGATGGAGTCAATATGAAAATAGATTCCAGTTTTATCTAAAATAGCATGAGATTACCTTTCTATTCAAGAAACAAGTGTTCCATGTGAACAAGCTTTTTCAATGACAGTTCAAAAATTCATAATCGTCTTCATCCTAATACAGCACATGCTTAAAAAGTTGGATAAATTATGAAGCAGGTATATTATATAATTAATTTTAATTTAATTTAAATTTTTTTTTTTTTAAGAAATAAAAATTTTCATGAATATTAATATCAATTGTATTCAACCAGTTTAACATAGTTTTAAACCGGCTCAACCATTTAACATCCTTAACTTACAACAATCCTCGTTTAAGATTGAATACAACTCAGGAGTGCCCAAAGACATGTAGACGATTTACCCAGACTCACAGACCACCAAGTCTATAAAAGGGACATTTCACCTAAAAGTTTCCAAGAAACAAAACCGGCACCAATGGACATTCAATTATACGAATCAACTTAAAAACCATCGATTACCAAGCAATGCACCAAAAGATATCCAGAAAATTCGATGTTAGAGATTAAGGACCTCTAACAATTGGATTAAAATACTGATTAGGACACTGTATATTGTTTTTTGTATAAGTGGGTCATTATCATAGGTAATAAGTAACACCGTACACAAGCGTTGACGAGGACCTATGGTATCGCCCTTAAATAGGAATAGGCAAAAGATGGTGAAAACTGGCACCACAATGGCTATCCTTAATTATGCACTTTGCGGAAAACATATAAACGACGGCCTCATTCTTGGTCAAAGGAAGCATGGGAAACGTGAGAACCTTAGGTACGCTCAAAGACGGCAAGGAAGCGGCCCCATGTGGAATGGACTCCTTGATTAGAACCTCGAGATGGAAACCAAGGCTTGCCGCGGTGGATCTCGTTTATATGAGGACTTGGAAAAATTACAATATGTTTAAAGGAGCGACAGTTGCTGGGAGACTCTGTGCGGGTAACCAATCACTATCGAACCAGACGCTAACCTTTAATGAAAAAGTGGAACTAAATTGGTAGTCACACTAAAACCGACAAAATCGGGTTGGTCAAGGGATGAAGAAACATGTTATGTGGTGTAAGGATCGGGAAACCGTGAATGATAGCATATCCGCTGGAAGTGTACACCCGGACTCCAACATTGTGGCAAGATTGTCAAATTGCCGGAACCCCCTAAAGCCCAAGGTACCGCGGGAGGCGCGAAAGCGGCTCTGACAGCAGCACGTTGAAAAACGTGTGGATGGTAATAATCCGAGGGATAGCCTGACCTGATTGATTGAGCTGAAAACCCTGCGTTAAACCGGGGGGCATGTATTTGCTCGAAACTCATGATATCACGATGGAGTGTATATGCGAAGGGAGACTAGTTTTAGGTAATCAGACTCAGAAGGGCCATTGAAAAACTCACTATGAGCAATAAATCCGGAGAAGCAGCTTCGTAAGTCGTCTCCTAACTTCTTAAACGCAATTAGAAGAGCAAGGAGTGCGAAGTCCGACTAGTTTATACACACACATTAAAAGATGTTAATGGGAAATCGGCAGCCAAGTGGCTCGGGCTCACTGGTGCGATAACATCAATCCAACCCAACCATGCAGTTCACAGACTAAACGGCAACGGCGACCTGTAGCAAAACAACCATTACTTTGAGTTTTGGCTCTGTTAGGTTATTGGAAGTTTAAGATATAGTCGACAGACGCCCGAAAGGGTATCTAGGTTAGTTTACTTAGATGAGCTGAGTTAAATTAAGCCAGCCCTGGTAAGTACTATATAATGCAGTCTTAATATAAAAATAACGAATGCTAAGGATATGTCAAGATGCTGAAATAGATCAAAAAGGCACAAAATGCTAAGGGCTAGAATCAAATTGAGGGACCCAAATGGCTCCAAAGGGATTCTGGACTACTGGTGTTCATCTGGGCCCTACACAGATGTTCATTGGGAAAACGGATGAACGGAGGAAAAAGGCGGTGAACAAAAGGCGATAACTCATTCTATACATACAAAGCTTTTGGGTCGCAAGAATCAAACTGATTGTAAAGGGGAGAGGTTGGTAGAACCTTCTGGGTGCCAACTTGCGATCGTCAGTGGCGTTCCTGTATAGTCTAAAAGTGTCAAAATGCTTAGGTTTTATGAAATGAATTCCAGGGCCGGACTAGCTATCGGACTGTCCTGTGTGTGACACAGGAGCTTCCGCCAGCATTCTGGTACAGATGTAGTTCTAAACCTTTTCGACATCAGTTGATGGGTATATCCGAACCAACGACCTTGAGATGTGTATTCTTGAGTGCTTTTTTATATTTTAACTATATTAAAGGAGCCGTTTATATCTACAAAGGTAATTGTCAAAGTTACTCATGTGTTTACATATGAGATAGCAAGGAGGCATGATTTGTGGGTATATCTGGCAGACAAATATGCGATTTTGTATATTTGAATGGACACTGGCCAATCCATTGTATAGAGAGTGATAACATTATATATTTACAACCTTAGGCTGTAAGGCGAATACATCAGTCTTCATTCTATGTCGCAGTATTCGGCTTGCAAAGCGGTAAGACACTCATTGTACGTGTGGACTTTGAGTTCGAAAATCCGTGGCCATTTAACTAACAGCAAGAGAACTCCTGCCTGCACTTCTATTATATTACGGCCTTCTTGATTCGATAACGAAAACTTTTGAGCACCTTGAATGAAAATTAGGAGTGAGACTATAGTAGCGTCACACCTATGCGCACATATGGTATCCAATTCGTGACGTTATTTGGATTTCTACGTAACGTTGAGGTATATATTATAAATGGGAGTGCCTAGCACGTTGTGTAGGGCCTAGCTGGTAACGTCTTCGGGCGCCAACAGATTTAACCAAGATATACCTAAAACAGATCGGCCTAGAATGAATAATAACGGTAAAGAGGAGGATAATCTGAAACGTGTAGTATAGGACTATAGTATTCGCCTAAGACTAGTGATAGGTGTGCTTGTTTTTTTGCCAGATGATATCCGAAAATAGCAATGGATCCACCAAAGCCATATCTGTAGATGAAATTTGGTACGGTGAATGTATTTTATTGACCAGGGCCGGACTAAGGCTAACTTTGCCTTGCGGGTACGCAATTTGGGTTAGTACATTCTGGTACAGTCAATATTATATGAGGTAGCCGGGGGCTCAGAAATGGGTCGCTTTGAGAACGTTGCGGCGAGGTCTGAAAAAATTACCATTCTGACCTCTCACAGCTAGTGTCGACGGGACTTACTTAAAGCACCCGTAACACAAGATGGATATCAGAAACCAAAAAAATTGGTCTAGTTTGAGATGAGAGTTGAAGGGTAATGAAATTATTTTGATCGAGATTACCCGTATTAGGGGAAGACGTTATAGCACCAATAACGCGCGTGCCTTGTAACATTACCAAGTGTCAGTATTGTGGTTTAACCATGTATACGCCAATGAAAAAGCAATGGTAGATGTGGTAAGCATGTCTAAGTCGGCTGTGAAATGGGACCGGGGAGCAGTCACCCTGGGGCTTTAAACACGATCAAAATAATGGAATCGAAAGTATAACAGTGCAAAATAGGAGGACGTAATTTCGGAATGAGGGAGCTGGGAGGCTGAGCCAGAAATGGCGATAGGACCGAGCATGAGAAACCAGCCGAAATTACGACGCTTGATACCAAAGAAAATACATGGATTTACACTTAAGAACGACAAATTATTTTGGATTAAAAATGACATGAAGAAAGTTAGTTATGAGAAGAAATAAGTTGAAGTATTATTCAATTACATGTGTTACTAGAATTAGAATTTAACAATGATTCATTGGCCGAAATATTTTAATTCCGAGTTAAATTATTTTACATTTTCATTATTTATCGTAGTTATTTAGTAAGAATTAGTGTAAAAGCACTCATAATTTTTAATAGAATTAATTTTATATAAGAAATTTGAATTTGGTATACTTGTAAAGTAACTTTCTAATAAATTAACTTATAAATAAGTCAATAAATTTGTTTCAACTAAATAAACTAAACAAAACGTTCTCTTAAATCTCTAAAACAAAATTATTCATTAATAAAACTAATTCATTGGTAATAGCCAAATCATAAATCTATGTTGTTATCATCACACTCCCCCAAAAAATAATTGGTGACGAAAATGAGATGAAAATCCGTAGATTATATAAATCACTTTGTGAAATTCCACACAACCTGCCCCAAGCTGTATTTCTTTATTTTAAATTATCTTTTTTTTCTTTTTATTTATTTTCTTTATACTTTCATTATTTATTCACCTTACAAGTTTAAAATATATATTACACTTTCTGTTAAAAATCAAATTGTAAATGCAATTAAAAAAATTTAATTCAAAACATATTAAGATGCGTATTATCATATGTTAAAATTTTAGATGAGGTTATAATGCACATTTTTATTCAATTCATTTTTTTTTGGAGTGGGAATATTTGGGGAAAAAAAATTCGGACCGAGTTTTATTTTTTTATTTGTTATGTTTTTTAGAAACATTAGAGAAATGAAAATTTGCATATAGATTAATAAGTACTTAGGTTACAAAACGACATTATTTTTTTGTATGTTTATTATGTACGTTTTTATGCAATTATTTGTTTTAGGGTGTGCGTGACTTTTATAGTTCTATACATCACTTAAGATAACAAATGGGATATTATTATGAAATGACTAAATTTTGATCCCTGAAATTCTTGGTAATACCGATGTTCACTTTGCCTGGGAAATAATCTAACTAGATAATTTAATAATTACGATGGATGGAATTATGATGATTATTATGAAGAAAATTATCATTATTATGGTGATGATGGTGATGATATCAAATCTAAAAGAAAGAAATATTAGACAAGATTAATTATATGCGAAACAATGTGGGCACATTCTAAAATATAAAATAAAATTACTTCACACTCCAGATATTAATATGATGCTTGTCTTCTGTGGTTGCATATCCGGTTTGTACGGAACTCATCTACTCTATTACTCTGCAATGACGTTTTAGCTCTTTACCACAGGAGCAAGAGCAACTCCTCGGGATGTTGATGAAGCAAGCATACATCAAACGAAGATAGCGGTGTCGTGGTTTTACAAAGAAGTCAAGTAGATAATGTGGGTGGTTGAGTTCATCAAGAAGATGATTTTGGTATATGAAAGCAGTATACTATCAGAAATTTTGCCATACATTGCACCTGAAGTATTGTGTAGCAAATTGTGTTTACTACTTCACCTGATGTTTATAGTTAAGATATAATAATGTCAAGGTCGTCAAGCGGCAAGGCACCTTATGATATGATTCTGATTTTGCTTTAGATATTGTTAGTACAAGGTTAAAGCTTGTATTTTGGGAAGATATTCTTATCAATTCGACGATTGAATGTTTAAATTCTAATCTGGAAAGAAAGAAGGTTCAGGTACCAAGGAATCATTTTTGTATTCTGATAAGTTATTAAAAACCCTCAAAAATCAAATGATTGAAAATCATGTGCCCAATTCAAGAAGTTTCTACAATATATCACTTTGAATTCAAAAAGCTACCAGAGATCACTCTTCTTACAATTCACCAAGAACTTATATTGTAAGAAGTGGTAAAATATACAATTTGATATTAATTTTTTTTACATTTAATATTAGACTCTTAACAAGTAAATTTGAACATTCAATTGTAAGCTAGACAGTTTCTCGAATAAAACCCAAATGTTACCGTAACCTTTAGGCATAAAATTTTACGACCGTCAGATGTATATGCATTAATATCAGCAATATAAGTTCCCTGTTATTTAATTTTAAAAAAAAAAAACTTTTAAAAAAAAAAAACCACAAGGTAAGTTTAATAGGAATGAAATAAATTTGTTCATACCGGGAGAATAGTGTTGGGTATTTCAAATTCACGGTGTAATTCACGATGACCTTTCTTGATTGGACAATTTATTTCTGCATGTTCGGCTGATTTTTCGCACAAGTCCATTTTTTCATCAATAATATTGACTGAACCAAGTTTAACAACCACATCAACATAACTACCGTTCAATATTGTTTCCTTTAAGAATCCAGCAGCGTCAACAAAGAGTAGTTTTCCTTTGGCTGGTGGATCAGGTTTCAAATTAATATATTCAATTTGAAGAATATCTTCACTTTTACTACAATCTGTTATGGTTCTTGAAACTGTGAAAGCATTATTATCAAGTTGTAAAGAATATTCTTGAGGATGAATTTTTTGTAAAAAAACTGAATTGACAATTGTGACTAGTGATAGTAAAAGCAATAATAAAATTATATTTTTCATTTTTGTTTCTGACATTACTGATATTAAAATTTTTAAAAAAAAAAATAATAAATTACATTTAATTGTTACACGCACGAAAAGGGAGAATAAATAATGACGTACTTTAAAACAGCGCCAATTTTGGTTTTATTATAAGTTCTGGGATTCAAGTGTATCAATACCAAATTTGTAAAAAAATTTCTTCGATAGTTACATAAAAATAGGTGAATAATTGGCATTTTGATTGTGCAAAAGTATCATTGGCGGTAGAGTTCGTCAAACTTTACATATAAAATCTTTCACACGCTATAAAAATAAAAATAATATAATAAAAAATTAGCCTAGGCTCGTCAAATTGTGCATGAAAAATTTCACATTTCTAGAAAAAAACGTGTGATATAAATAATCGAAATCAGTGTCAATGTCTAAAATCTATTACTATGTGCGGAACGCTCGCTCCGAGCATAATAATTTATTTGCGCACAATGCGGGATCAAATAAAATAAAATATTAAATTATATATATAAATATATATTAATGCCAGTTCACAAATCCTTATATTTACTTTTTTCTCGCAATATTTTTTTCTAATGAACTTTTTCAAATATATCTTTTTATTCACTCCATTCACATTAAAGCTTTTGAAAAGTATTCAAAAATGAATAAATGGGGCAAGTCACTTAGTCCCACAACTCTTTATTGGTCGTGTAGATTTTTAAATTCTCCAAAAATGGAAATGCAACACCACAAAATAAATCGTGTATTTGAAGCCAAGACCTTCCTCTACAAAATCACAATTTCATCTCATTGATATGTCATGCTGTTGTGGAGAATTTGAGCTTCAGGTATTGATTGCTGATGATAGCTGGCATTTGTGTTATGATTGCTTTCTCTAGAATAAAATTGATGTTAAGACTGGTTTGAAAATTCCGCAACTCGGGATGTTGCAACCTGGGTTATTGTTTTGAATCCCCCCGAATTCCGAGTTTTGAGGCCTGGGTTGCTGTCTTGTTGGGGCACACCTACTCAACAACAACCTACCCCCATTTAAAAAACAAAAAAATTCACTTTGTCAAACAAAAATTTAGAGAAACAGAAAATTTATGAAAATGGCTAATAACATTTTTCTTGTTGGCCATATTGCTGACAAAGATGTATATAATCATAATTTTAATCTATAGGACAGGGGACAAAACCCCATTCAGTCCCTTACCCAAAATTATAAATCGGTTAGTATCAAAGAAACAGAGAATTTAGGAAAATAATTATACAAAACAAACACTATTTTACAACTTTCCTCTTAGCATCAAAGCCCAAACACAATTTCAGGGTCACCAGTCCCACTCTGAATTACAACCTCCTGTGCTTGAAATGAGTTGCAGATCTTCTTAATATTCCTTCAGGGTTGCGACAGCTTGGTCACAGAGCCATCCTTAGAGGTAAGGTCATTGCAGGCAATTTGTCAGCTTTCTTTAGTCTGGATGCTGTGAGAGAAGATTAGTGAAAAGTGTCATTGGCAATTAATGCAGTCTCAGTAAACTCCAGGGCCACGTATTTCCCCCTGAAAATTTAGTTGCATCATTGTATCATCGGTCCATCAGGTAAGATTAGCTTTGTGCACATGAGGAACATGTGAGAATGACTGTAAGTGTCCGATAATCTATCAAAATGTTTCACTTCCTTGTATCACCTTGACATTTTCATATTATTTAATGTTAATAATAATGTTGATTATGAAAAGCCAAATACCAATCATTTGTTTACCATCTTGATGAGATTTTTATAATTACCCAGAAAGCTCTGCTCCGCGTTTTGATTTAAAAGACACATCAATGCAAATTAAAAAAAAGCTGCCTCTTGTTAGTTATTAACACGTCTTTAGAACCAAATCATGCCAAACAACATCACTCACATTTTGTCATCTGTCAAAAAACAAATTGTTTTTCCAAAAAAAATAAATAATTAGTGTACAGTCAAACCTCGTCACAGCGAACCTCGTCACAGCGAATTTCTTGTTACAACGAATTTAAATATCGGCCCTTTTTTATTAATTAAAAATATTTGTCATAACGAATTTTGGTAATTTTTATATTCGAACTTTATTTATCTACATTTTATATTTTTATTATTTATTTCATAATTAATTTTAAAAGTATATAATGACCAAATGAAAGTACGAATAAATCAACCGTTTAATTAATGTATTATTTGGGTCATGCTTATAAGAGTAGAGGCAGAAAATTAAAATTAATATAAATTATTCTTTTATCGTTCTGCAATAATTCTATTTTCACACTTTTGTGGTCGAAAATTAAACAGTAAGGTTTAATTGTCCATTTGGTTATCAGAATGGCATAGAACTATGAGGTTTTGTAATTAGGTTTTGGTTATTTGTTTTAGTTAAGGAAGCGAAGGTTTAGTTTTTGGTAAGGTTTTGTTTGTTTAAGTTTTTGTAAACGGGTTTAAATGTTTAAGTGTAAATGTAAGGTGTTAAGACTGATTGACAAAGTTAATATTATAATTTGGTACATTATTTTCATAAAGGCCAATGATTTTACCATGTTGACTTTCAGTTAAGGATGTTTAAAGTTTTTTTAAGAATTGGCTCAAGGTTTATTAAAACGATGTCTTTTTGCAAAAAAATTCAAAACAACGCAAATGTTCATAAATAAAATAGGAACTCTATAGGAGCCTTTGTTTCTTTGTAGAAAGGACATCTTTATTTATTGTAATTCGTTGTCGTTTGTATAAATTGTGCCTACAGATTCACCGAGGCTTTCTAAGTACAAGAAAGAGGCAACAAGCAGGATAATTTCGTAAAATAACTTAATTGACGAATATTGTATATAAAAGCTTTCAATTAATCGACGAGTGTAGCTAAAAAGTTAACTTGGAAATCGGCCATAAAACATAAAATAATCGAGGTTGACCGAAAAGCTGCCTCGCAACATTACAAACATTTTATGTTGAGAAAAAAAGCTTAGGACTTTTTCAGGACTTAAGTTCGGTCCGGTCCTAAGATGGTATTGCCGATCCCAAGACCGGACCGGACGGTTAAGGACCAATTAACATTTCTAGTTATAGCAAGGGGTTTGGTTATAGATTATTTTTTTCTTTAAAAGGCGAGGGATGTGATTTTTTTTTAATGTTGCTTGATATGAATATCAAGAACTTTTTAACTTGTCCTTTGCCCAAATTTGGCTAAATCGATATTCTAGTATTAAACAAATTATTAATGTGGGCTCATTTTTTTGATTAGAATTAGAAAAATTCCGTATTTGTAACCAATAATTTACTTGGATGAATTTTTATCATAAGTTTTCATTTAAAATATTCTCGAATGATTTTAATTTATTTATCAGTTCTCGAATGATTTTATAATAAGTTTTAGTTGAGAATATTTTAAATGACAAAATAAATAAAATTTATTATTTATTTGTCATGAATTTTATTTGTGCCCCCGAATGGTTTTATCATAAGTTAAATATTGATATTCTCAACTGATTTTTTTTTTCGAATGAATTAGTTTTTTTTATTAGAGATCTGCCAAAGATCTACAAAAGTTCGACACATCATTAAAAATCCTGTTATAACTAGGTTCGACTGTAGATAAATTCTCTTTTTTTTTTAGTAAAAATATCTTGTAAACCTTATTAGATTTTATATTAATATATTATGGAACGTGTAAATCTTAAAACAATACCAACAATTGTGCAAAATATGAAGGAAGAAGATATAGATGAGGATTATTCAGAGTTTATACCATTGAATAAACCTAAAAACTATAATGTTGAAAAATTAATAAAAATGTCGGCAATGGCTTGTGCATGTACCTTCGGGGTTGGGAGTCATTTTGCGATACATATAATAGGTCCCTTAAAAGGGATATTAATGGAGGTATAGTATAAGTTTCTGCATCTACATTTACCCTTTTTCTAAACTTTTTATAAACTCTGATCATTATTATTATTTAAACAAATAGCAACTTGATTTAACAAATACACAATTTTCATTATTGATTGCTTCACTTACCTTATGTAATACAATAATACCAATAGTTTCTGGTTTACTTGTGGCAAGATTTGGCACTACAAAAAGTTCCTTAGTAACGACAACTATAATTTTGATAGGAATGATAATTGTAACAGGAGCAAGTTGGACCGGTAAAGTTGGTTTGATGATCATTGGATTTATGGTGTTTGGGTAAATTTTTTGTCAATTAAAAAAACCAATATAAAGGATTTTATATTCAGTCTAAAAAAAAATTATATTTTAATATAGCACTGGAATAGCTCCTTTAATGATTGTTCAAGAAACAATAATTGTACAATTCTTTCAAGGGAATGGACTAGGATTTGCCTTGGCTCTTGGATTGACATTTGGAAGATTAGTAAGTTGCAAAAAAAAGAGGTTTCTTTTTAACCATTAATATAAATCAGTAAGTTCATCACAAATTATCATCATTATTTTACAATTCTAGGCATCATTTTTTGCAACAATTTTAGCTGTACCATTATCTTTGATGCCACAATTAGGATATCGTACACCATTTTTTGTGGCAACATTTACATGTTTTATTTCTTGGGTAATGAGCATAATATATGTATTTCTTTTGAGTTATGCGGATAATAGAAAAAATCGTAGTAAAGAGGGTGAAGCTGTCAATAAATTGATAAAAAATAAAAAAGTACATTGGGATGATATATTTCAACTTTCTGATCTTTTTTGGTGGTTTCTTGTAGTAGGTTTATTGTTTGGAACATCAATGCCTCCATTTCTTCATTTATCAAGGTAGATTTTTTATCTCTAAAAAAAAATAATTATCGTTGGTTTTTTTATTTTGTAATCTTTTAATCCTAAATTATTGTATATTTGTTTTCATTATTATACAGCAATATAATAAAACATCGATTTGATACAACAGATATGTTGGCAGCATGGGATGCATCTATAATATTATTAATACCTGTAATATTATACCCATTTTTGGGATTATTTATGGATAAATATGGGATGAGATTGTATATACGTAAGAAAAATTAATCATTTATATACATTTAAAAACAACAACAACGAACAATATTATTAATAAACTTAAAAACAATTGTACCTATAGTAATTTCCGGATCTGCAGCAATTTTAATGACATTTTTGTTATTTTTACTACCACCAAAATTGGTTCATTCATATCCACCAATTCTACTTTTTGCATTTGCCTATGCCTCAGTTCCATTAACACTTGTCACCTTAGTACCATTATTGACAAAACATGTATCAACTGGGCTTGGATTATTAAAAAGTGTTGATAATATTGGGGCAACATTAACTCAGACATTTGCAGGACTTTTATTAGATGAACATGTTAAAAGGAAAAAATACGAAATTAGTAATGGAATTGAATATGGACATGAGGATGATGATTTAGTGGCTTTAAGAATGTTTGCCATCCTAAGTTTTCTTTTACTTTTAAGTAGTTTGGTATTTTGGTGGGCAGATAAGAAATATAGAGATGGTAATATAAATTCAAAGGATGATGGTTACAATAATGAAATTCATGATAATTATGATAAATTAAAAGAAAATGATGATGACGACGAGGTTGAAGTTGATAAAGAAATGGAAGAAATGCAAAGCAGTGAAAGTATGCGAATGGTGGTCATAGAAGATGAAATAACATTCGTTAAAACAGCATTGTCAAAAAAGAAAAAGAGAACAATAGTTTATATTGGAATAATTGCCTTATTGTTATTAATTTGTTGGTTAACCTTTGCGATTGTTGCTTTTGAAAAGGCTGGAGTACATGCTAGTGGTGATAACAACTCTGAATGATTCATTTACTTATAGAAAAGAGATTAGATTCTCTGGCATAAATAAATATATAGACACACACACACGCACATATATATAATAATTAATAGTATTCATATACTTAATTTAATAATTTGTAAGTTAACATACTTGATGCATTTTTTTAATATTTATTCATTTTGCAATTTAAAAAATAGATTAATTTAATAAATTATTTTATGACGCAAATTTTTGTGTTACTTGGATGTGCACATCATGCAAAATGTTTCACAAACTTTTTAAATAAGTTATTGTTATTGTTTTCTCTAAAACGCGTATATTAAACTCTTTTTATCTCGAAAAAAAAAAGTTTATAAAGTTTATTCAATAAAAACTTATGTTCTTATTATAATTATTTAACAACTTATAATTATTTAACAACTTATAATTATTTAACAACTTATAATCGTTTAACAACTTATAATTGTTTAGCAAAAAACAAACATGTCAAACTCGAACTCAAACTCGAACACAATTGCCTCTTCAAAATCAATCGAAGAAACCTATATTAAACTATCACCTATTGAACACGTACTTAAAAGACCAGACACTTATGTTGGTTCTGTAGAAGCTGTCACAGAAAAACAATGGATTTATAATTCTGAAGAAGATAAACTTGAATACAAAGAGATTACTTATGTCCCAGGATTCTTTAAAATATTTGATGAAATACTCGTTAATGCTGCTGATAATAAGGTATGATTTTGTTTTTAATAATAATAATAACAAAGATCATAATTTTTAACTATATTCTACATTTCTAAATTAAATAAAATATATACAATAATCATTTATGACGAATAACAAATAATATAGGCTCGTGATCCTTTAATGAATACAATCAAAGTTAACATCGATAAAGAAAAAGGACATATTTCAATATACAATAACGGTAAAGGAATTCCAATCGAAATTCACAAGGATCTTAATGTTCATGTGCCTGAAATGTTGTTTGGTCAACTTATGACTTCATCAAACTATGACGATGATGTAAAAAGAATCACCGGTGGAAGAAACGGTCTTGGTGCAAAATCTGCAAATATTTTCAGCACTAAATTCACTGTTGAAACTGCTGACTCAAATCAGAAAAAGAAATATGTCCAAAATTTTTCAGAAAACATGAGAAAAACTGATAGTCCAAAAATCACTGCTTACAATAAAAAAGAAGAATACACCAAGATATCATTTAATCCTGATCTTGAAAAATTTGGAATGACCGAATTTACTGATGATACTGTCGCTTTGTTGAATAAACGAGTATATGATACGGCTGGAATAGTAAAAGATGTCAAGGTTTTCCTTAATGATAAACGTATACAAGTTAAAAATTTCAAAGAATATGTTCAAATGTATCTGAAATCGGTAAATACAGATGCTGCATCATCAAAAATTAGTGTTGTGCATGAAAAATTTGGTGAACGTTGGGAGGTTGTCATTGCACCTAGTGTCGAAGGCCAATTCCAACAAGTAAGTAGTGATAAGATTTATCCATATATTATAACACTCATGATGTCTCATTTAATATTCACTCACCAATATTTATATAATCGTTTTTTCCCCTTCCCTAAAACGACAACAATAATAAATAGGTAAGCTTTGTAAACAGTATTTGCACATCTAAAGGTGGACTTCACGTTAAACATGTTACTGAACAAATCACCGCAAAACTTGCCGAACATATTGAAAAGAAAAACAAAGATCTTAAGGTCAAGCCCCAGCAAGTTAAAAACCACATCTGGATATTTGTTAATTGTTTAATTGAAAATCCCACTTTTGACTCTCAAACAAAAGAATATATGACATTGAAGCAAAGTTCTTTTGGATCAAAATGCACAATAAATGATGACTTTATAAAAAAAACAATAAAGATTGGCATCATAGAGAGTATTGTGAATGATCTCAAGTCAAAGCAAGTCCAAGTACTAAAGAAAACAGATGGCGCCAAAAAAAATACAGTCAACGTAGAAAAATTAGATGATGCAGTAAACGCCGGGACAAAAAATGCATGTAACTGCACATTGGTGCTGACAGAAGGCGACTCGGCAAAAGCCTTGGCCTTGGCCGGCTTTGATGTTGTAGGGCATAACAATTGGGGAGTTTACCCCTTACGGGGTAAACTGTTAAATGTGAGAGATGCATCTGTAAAACAAGTGGCAGAAAATAAAGAGATTCAAGCTCTAAAGCGAATACTTGGTTTGCAGCATGATAAAAAATATGATTCACTAAAGGACTTGCGTTATGGGAAATTGATGATAATGACGGACCAAGATCTTGACGGCAGCCATATTAAAGGGTTGATCATCAATTTCTTTGACCATTTCTATCCCTCATTGTTAAAGCAACCTGGTTTCTTGCAAGAGTTCATCACGCCAATTGTGAAATGTTCAAAAAATAAAACAAATATATCATTCTATACATTACGAGAGCTTGAGGAATGGAAAAACAGTAACGATAACGGAAAAGGATGGACCATTAAATATTACAAAGGGCTTGGGACCAGCACATCTGAGGAAGCTAGAGAATATTTCAATGACTTGGGTAAACACGTCAAAAAATTCAAGCCAATGGATGATGAAGACCACAAACTTATCGACATGGCATTCGCTAAAAAGAATGCCGATGAACGTAAGTCTTGGATCAGAGGGATCGAAGACGGGACCTATATCGATTATAGAGACAGTGAAATCACAATCAAGGATTTCATTAACAAGGAGTTGTCACTATTTTCACTTTCTGATAACATCCGATCAATTCCTTCGGTAATAGATGGCTTAAAACCCGGACAAAGAAAAGTTTTATTTAGCTGCATTACAAAAAACTTGATAAAAGAGCAGAGTAAAGTGTCTTCATTAGCTGGCTATGTTTCTGAAAACTCTGCATACCACCATGGCGAAGCCAGCCTTCACTCAACTATAATTAGTCTTGCGCAAGATTTTGTAGGATCCAACAATATCAATCTACTAGAACCTATCGGTCAGTTTGGGAAAAGAAATGACGGTGGTAAAAGTGCTGCAAGTGCACGTTATATTAATACCAGACTTTCTAAATTTGCAAGGCTAATTTACCACCCAGATGATGATGTTTTATTAGACTACCTGAATGATGATGGTAAAAGCATAGAACCAAAATGGTATGTTCCTATCATTCCAATGGTGCTGGTCAATGGTGCAGAAGGCATAGGAACAGGTTGGAGCACCAACATTCCCAATTTCAATCCCAAAGACATTATCCACAATTTGAGAAGAAAGATCAAAGGCGAAGAGATGATCCCGATGCATCCTTGGTACCGTGGATTTTATGGAGAGATCAAACAAACCGAGCACAATAAATACACATCATATGGAATAATTTCCAAAAAAGATGATACGCATGTTGTAATATCAGAACTACCAATTCGCAAGTGGACCGAGGATTACAAATCCAAAACCCTAAATGATTTCAGAGAAAACAACACGATCAGGAACATTTCTAGAAACAATTGCACTAATGAAAGGGTAGATCTTGAAATTGAATTAACTGTTGAGCAAATGGAAAAGGCAGAGAAAGAGGGACTTGAAAAAACATTCCAATTAACGACTGCTCTGGCAACGTCCAATATGATGTGTTTCGACCCAAACAATAAACTTGCAAAGTACGACTCTCCAGAAGACATCATAAAAGAGTTTTACCACGAACGATCGAAGCTTTATGTCAAAAGAAAAGTATGTTTATTATTAATATAATTTTATTTGACTTTTTAACAATATTTTAATCTATTGTGTATATATTATAGAATCACTTGATTAAAGATTTGCAGAAACAAATTAGTATAATGGAGGGTAAAGTAAGGTTTATTTATATGAAGCTTGACTCAACGTTAAAGTTCGAAGGATTAAAGAAGGCGGAAATCGTAAAACTTCTTGAATCCCATAAATTTGAGAAAATATACGATGCACAGTCCGAAGAAAATTCGTCTGAGGGTACCGAGACCAACAGAAACACCAAAGGGTATGACTACCTTATGAAGCTTACATGTTGGGGCTTTAGTAGAGAAGAAGTGGACAAATATGAAAATAAAAAGAAGTCTCTATATTCTGAATTGAAAATAATTTCAGAAATGAGCACCCAAGATTTATGGCTAAAGGATCTCGACGAACTCGAAGCGGCATGGGACGAGTTCGTGAATGTCAATCAAGAAAATATATCAACTTCTGCTAAGACCACCAAGATCACCAAGACCACCAAGACCACCAAGACCACAAAAACCACAAAAAATCAGGCTGATAACGGAAAATCCAAGTCAAAACAAACTAAGGTTGATAGATTTTTTACAAATAGTAATAAATTGAATAGTATTGATATTGATGACCACGATGATAATTATACCGAGGAAAAAATTGAGAATATTATGGATGATGTTGATAGCAGTGGCAAAGATTACACTGAACGAAAGACCACAATTAAAAAGGCAAATGAAGGAAAATCCAAATTGAAAGCTGAAGATGATGAATTTAAATTGAATCATACAACAGCCACAAGCGGTAAAAGTAAGGTGATCGAAACTATTGATGATGATGATACCGATTATATTGAACCACATGAAACAAAAACTACAACTAAAAAAGCAAACAAAGGAAGATCCAAGTTGAAAGTTGAAGACGATGAATTTAAATTGAATCATATAACAGCCACGAGCAGTAAAAGAAAAATAATTGAAATGGTGGATGACGATGATGACGATTATATTGAACCACATGAAACAGAAATTACAACTAAAGAAGCAAACAACGGAAGATCCAAGTTGAAAGTTGAAGACGATGAATTTAAATTGAATCATATAACAGCCACGAGCAGTAAAAGAAAAATAATTGAAATGGTGGATGACGATGATGACGATTATATTGAACCACATGAAACAGAAATTACAACTAAAAAAAGAAAATTAAGAACTGTAAAAAAAGTTAATTATTTGGTAGATTTAGTAGATGATGATGAATAAATTTGAATAGTAATTTAATTAACACAAAAAAGAAGAAATTTTCTATTTGCCGTGTCACCATCTCCTCCCGAAATTCGCAAAGTTCATAATCTTCGTGCAGGTTTTTCGCCAATTATCTCTTTTTATGTTTAGCTGTGCTTGTTTTTTTCGGTTTTTGGCGCGATCAACATTTTCGCCA